AGGATCACTCAGAGGCATATGGGAGTGCGTGGGATCACAAAGAGCCTAGATTCAACAAGCCACCTATAGGCCTTGTACGAAAGGATATCAAAAGTCTACAGAGCTAGCTACAGGGAGTGTCTCAATATATACCTATCCTAGTCGGGTCCGAATTCGGATCCGACCTCGGGCGAATGGCTGATGAAGGGCGGCAGGTACTTCCTCCGATCCGGCTCTGGGATTGGCTCCATACTTGGCGAAGTTGTAACATCGTTACACTCGGGAGCACGATCGGACAGGCCAAGGTAACAAGATTGTATTCGATAGAGAGCTAAGCTCTCGGCTACGTAGCTATCTATATACAATGCTGGTTGCTAGGGTAACAATCAGGCCAGGCAGGTGGAGTAAACGAGGTCGTAGACGAGTATGGGAGGCGAAGGGCGTTCAGCCCGTTACAGTAGTAGTAGAAAGTAAGGCTTAAAACTTAGCTATACCACTTAGTTTTAGTGTTCTATATAGGCTCTAATATAGGCTTCTATATAGTCTTCTATATAAGCTTTTATTTAGGCTCTTATATAGGCTCCTATATAGGCTCTTATATAGGCTCTTATATAGGCTCTAAATTTAGCTTTTATTTAGGCTTATAGGCCTATTACTACTAAAATCTATTATATACTAAGTTTAAAATATATATTACGCTAACTTAATAAAAGTAGATAAGTTAGCGCTAAAGTATTAAATTATAGTACTAACTATATAGAGCTTAGATGCAGCTACGCTAGTGTGCACCCCTGCTTACTAGCAGGCTAAATACTGTTTTAGTCGTAGGACAAATGACTTTTACCGTCTGTCAGCTGTCGTGCATATTTTGGTGCTACCACTATCGCTAGAGATACGACGCGGAGATACGGCGCGGCGATACGCTCGCCTTGCCGTCGTGTACCGGCAGAACCGGAGAGGGACAATACATGGTCTGGTGGTTAAGTATTCAAGGTGGAGCACTATTCGGGCCGGGGTTTGGTTTCAAGCTTAGCTAAAGCTGGCTTATTAATACGAAGCTTAGACAGCTTCTATCCAATTACTGTGTTCCACTAGTAAGCTGCGCACCCCAGTAAGCTGCGCACCCCACCTAACTTGACGCGACTCTCTACGCGATAGCTCTACAACAACATAAGATAATAGAATACAATCTTGTACATAGCTAGTCTATTACTGTCTACATTGAGTCCTAGTGTGTCCTTGGATATGGCACTTCGTACACGTTGGTGGTGCGCGCTGACGTCCCTGAGTAGCCTGAGCTTGTTCTACCTCCGCGACCACCCTTTCTGCCTCTATAGCGAGCTGCTGGCCTTGCTGGGCCTGTAGCGCTCCTCCACGAGCTATATATTGACGTCGCTGGTCTCTCCTACGTCGCTGGCGCTGACTAGCTGTACGAAGCTTCCTATTCTCCTCTGCGAGTATAGTCGCTGAGTTCATCGCAAGCTGACAACCTTTAACAAGCTGGCGTATAGCTTGGCTTGTTAGGCTCTGCGACTGGCGGTGAAGGAGGTCCTTTACGTGTTGAGCCTGATTTTCAAGCTGCGCTATCGTACGCGGTGTCTCTGCGGTCCATGCGATGTTGTTGTCTGCTGTTGTCCCTGGTGGAGACGGCGTACGGACGACAGTGAGCGACGATAGGACGCGTTCTGGACAGGGAGGGATAAGCCCTGTCGCCTGGAAGCCTGCCTGGATGTTCTGCTGCGTAAGTACTGCTGGCCGGATCCGTGTATAGGCGGTAAGGAAGTCTATCTTGTCAATATGGTAGACGCCTTGGCGAGCTAGCTCCTGGATCTCGTGACCGTACGCTCGCTTGAGCGGGGAAAAGCAGCCCACATCAAGTGGCTGGAGCAGGTGGGAGGTATGGGCTGGCATACAGAGAGTGATGATCTTGTTCTCTGTGCAGTACTGGTCGAACTCAGGCGTGGCGTGGCTGCTATGGCCATCTAGGATAAGAAGCCGGTAGACTCCATGCGTACGAGGCGCTGTATATCTATTAAAGTGCTTTACCCACTCTACGCCGAGCTCATCTGTCGTCCAGCCGTTGTCTGATACAGCGAGCACCCAGTCTATAGGGATGTGGTGGTACCAGCTAGCCTGGTGCTGCTTACCAGACAGGATCACGAACGGTGGAAGACACCCAGCCAGACGCGTTGATACACTCGATTGTCGTGACCCAGTCTCTGTTCCCTGGTTGTACTGTGCTGCCCGA